ACCCCTCCTTGGGTTTCCAAGGTGCTATCTCTAGGGAAGTAGATTGCCCAATCTGGTTACAGCCTTGGAAACCCTGTGGGGCAGTTCCACTCTGTCCTCTAGGGGTGCTGTGAGTCGGAATTGACTTGATAAATCAGAATCAACTCAGTGACAGTAAGTATGCAGTTTCTGACTTTTTTTTAAAGTATTTAATTTTTTATAAAATCACATATTGGGTTGACAGAAAAAGGAAGGAAACAAGGGACACTGAGCTCCGTTGTCAGCCTGGGGGACGAGAGGTCTTTCAGCGGCTGACGTTGCTGAGTTTACGCAGGGTGTTGGTAGAGGGCACCCCACCCCATGCCCTCCTCCCCACCTAGTCTCCCACAGTCCAGCCCCCAGGAAAGGAGAATGGGCAACATTACCCAAGTCATGAGGGCTTGTGGGGAATAAAGGTAGCAACCACCACCCGCCTGGCAGTCTGTCTGACTGGTGGCTGCGTGTTGCTGTGAGGCTGCAGGCTATGTCACAGTATTTCAAACACCAGCAGGGTCTCGCATGGCGGACTAGGAACAGGGAAGGGAGGGCTATCTGCTTCCAAAATCAGTTACTGAGAGCCTCTGGAGCACGTGAGAACACCGTCTGACACGGTGCCTCTGTCACAGTGCCTGACACTGCGCCGACCCGATGCAACTCGCCCGACACAGCACCTCTGACACGGTGCCGTCCGACACAGCGCTGGAAGAAGGGCCCTGGGTGAAAGGCACTCAGAATACGCTTGGCCGCAACAAGGGACTCACGTCGCCCAGCATCAGTGATGGCACAGGTGGTGCCCGCTGGATTTCCTCATGGTGGGCATTTGCCGTGGGTCAGAACTGATGGACGGCGGCCGACAGCAAGGAAGGAGGTCCGCCATGTGGCTAGGTCTCTAGTGCTGCTGCAACAGAGACATCACAAGGGGGAGGCTGTAACAAACAGAAATGTAGTCTCTCACAGTTTATGAGGCTAGAAGTCCAAATTCAGAGTGCGGCTCTAGGGGAGGCTTTCTCTCTCCGTCGGCTCTGGGGGAGGTTCTTGTCTTCTTCCAGCATCTGTGGGTCCAGTGTCCCTTTAAGACCTCCATGTGTCTCGGCATCAATCTTCCCCTGGTCTAGAAGGCGATCAGTGCAGGAGCCCTGGGTCCAAAAGACACACTCGGCTCCCGGCTCTTCCTCCTTGGTGGTGTCAGTTCCCTCCCTGTGCTCGCTTCCGTAAGATAAAAGGTGACACAGGCCACAGCCCAGGGAAACTCCCCAAACAGGATCAGGGCTGTGACCTGAGTAAGGGCGTTGTCACTCTAATCCCCTTACAAGTGATTGGCCAATCACGTCATATCACGTCATGGGGGTTCACACCATTAGCTAACTGCCAGACCACTGAGAACTGTGGCCCAGTCACGCTGACAGGTATTTTTGGGGACACAGCACAATCCATGACACCATGTTAAAGTACTTTCTAAGCCATGAAGTGCTGTAGAAGGGGACATGCCCTTATGACCACACTGTGGTACTCTCAGGAGAGAAGGAAACAATAGGAGTTGGTCCAGGCTCCATCTCTACCCTTAAAAGGAACACTGCACAGAAGCAACACCCTTGAATGATGGTGCTGGTGAACACTACTGAAGAGCCCACGTACTGCCGAATGAACAGATCTGTCCTGATAGAAGTACAGCCGGAATGCTCCTTAAAAGTGAGAATAGCCAGACCTTGTCTCACTACTTTGGTCATGTTGTCAGGGGATCTAGTCCCTGGAGAGGGACATGA